ATACATTCACAGAACTTTAATTTCTTCCTGGGTTCATTCAAAGTCAGCACCAACCTCATAATCCTAGAGTCAAACCTAAGCCCTAAGAATTGGTCCAAATAGCCAGAGAAAAAACAAACCTTGCGTGAGCATTTAGATGCCATAAACCAGAGTTCTCTATTTTTTTTTAAGATTTTATTTATTTATTTGAGTGAGAGAGAGCAGGAGAGCAGGGTGAGGGGCAGAGGAAGAAGCAGGCTCCCCGCTGAGCAGGGAGCCTGATGCGAGGCTCCTTCTCAGGACCCCCGGATCACGACCTGAGAGGAAGGCAGACGCTTAACCGACTGAGCCACCCAGGCGCCCCATAAACCAGAGTTCTTAGCAGGAGAAGGTTTTGCCTCTGGCACATACCTGGCAATGTCTTTAGTTCTGACCACTCGAAAGGTGCTACTCCCATCTAATGGCTAGGGCCAGGGATGATACTAAACACCCTACAGTGGACAGGAATGACCTTGAAGACAGAGAATTATCTGTCGCCAAATGTCCACAGTGCTGTGGTTAAAAAACTGCTCTAGGCTTTGACACAGTAAGAACCAGAAGTGGGTAAATATCTTTCCTCAAGAGCAAGTTGCGGCCTCCCTAGGAGAGCCCAGATCACCTGTGAATAGGTATGAGGCATTCCCCCACTCCCACACCTATTCTCCTCAATGCTGTGTCTTTAATTCATGGACATGCAACGCATGAAAGTAAGTTCTGGACACTCGGAATAATTATTAACATTTTTTATTCTTACATACTGTTTCTCTCTTGTTTTTGCTTCTCTGTCTTTTCCTATGCCTGACAAATTCCTGGCCCAATTAAAATCAGGTCTGATTCTCCAAACGAACCTGACGAATTCATTCCCAGTTCCATACTTAGTCTTTGTATATTGCCATGGAACTTTGTTTCCCTAAAAGTCTTAAAATCTGTCAAAGAAATTATAAACGGATTTACAACAATCGCATAAAGCATCTGCATGTCCCGGACAATTATGACTATTCGCGATGTAGACCGTTGCGGCCACGGTGGCATCCCTGTTCCCCATGCCACTCTGTTCCTGCGTCTCTCTTCTGCGGGTGACGGGGACTGGGCAAACTACACTTCCCAGACTCCTTCGCTGACCTGCTTCCAGTTAGGTCACAACAAATTTGGAGTTTGGAGAAGAGGGGAAGGGGCTTCCTTCCTCACTTTTGCTCCTGTCACCACTGCCACAGCGAGCCGTGGCGTCCCCCTTCCTAGGGCACTGCTAGAACCAATGTCCTCATGCCCTCATAGAGACACCGGCGACTAGGTCCTGCCCCTCTTGCTTAGGTCTGAGGACTGAGACTGGAAAAAAAAAAATCTCTCCTCAGAGCTGCAGGGGTACCAACACCAGCTGGGCAGCATGCCCCTCCTCAGAGGCTGAGAACCAGGGGACACCCTCTGTAGGCTCCTGGTCTCTTCCATTTCAATGTCCCCCTGCGGGTTGGCACCTGCTGCCTGCAATTATCTCTGGGTAACCTCAGCACTCCCTTGAGCCCTTCATTACCTGTGTAACAAAACGGGTTTTAAATTTGTCCAAACTACTAGTACATCCTGGTCAACTGAGTCCTGGCTGATTTAACCCCTACCGTCATGGCTGCTACTCTATCATCCTATAAATCTGGAAGCCAGACAGGTCTAGTTACCTAACGGATAAAGCGACAAAGCCTAATGAAGACTATACTTCATCCCTCACAACTGATAGATCAAGTAGGTGAAAGATACATTAAGACTATAGAGGATCTAAAACAACAATTTGTAAAGTAAAATCTAGAAGACATATGTTCAACTCGAAGCATTATAAATGGGAGATATAATTCAATTTCTCTTTTCTACAGAACATAAAGAAGAACGGACTCAAGGTCCTCAATCATCTACACCGACAGGTAAATTTGCTGATCACGCAATGTAACTGGAATTTAATAGCAAAATGAAAACTAAGGTAAGAAAGCATAAAATAATTCAAAAATGTTCTTAATAACCAGAAAGGAAATGATAATGAAGATCCTCCTTATACTGGTTTACCTAGCAGATAAGCTAACATTCCTACATAGTATATAGGATTATTATGAGAAATAATGTAAAATACAAAATTTTATTCAACTAAATGGAATGATAATTCTGACAATGACTGTGTTCCCTAGTGTATCACCAGAAACATAATTTTCATGTTTCCCACTCCTCCACTAACAAAAGATCATCACTAAAATCCACTTAGGTATCTATTTAAATACCCACCAAGGATTGTAGTATAATATCAATCAGTTAAAATGTCAATTTCCTCATTATTTAACATATAACACATTGGTAAGTCCATATATATATAACAGTACACAACAAAATCTTACAGGAATTATGTTTCCTTCTACACTGAAATCCGTATGTGTTGGGGTATAAATAAAGAATAAAATAGTAAAGTAAAGGTACAGAATGAATGAAAATAACATTTAGCAAAATAAAAAAAAAAGCAAGACAATATTTTTAAATAGGCAGTGGTATTGTTGATTGAGTGAGGTTTGGTGGCGGGAGGAAGGGATGAGACAGTGATCACTGTTGGGTTGGGGCAGTGGGAGTTGAGCGAAAGTGAAATGGCCACATTGGGAGTGAATCAGAAAATGCATGAGATTCACCTAGGTTCAAATGCAAAGATGTGGTGGACAGCCTTTTCTTTCTGGCACTCATAGCTCAGAATCAGATGGCCGTAAACTCTGATCTGTCTAAAGTTCTGGTTGAAGCAAAGAGAGAAAACAAAGCAAAAGCTCTAGGTGGATATTTGTTTGCTTTCTTTCACTATGATTCTATAGCTCCTGATGATGTAGGATGGAATTTGGAACTGAACATTGTAATTGTTTGTGCTCATTTCCTCATTATGGTTTTTACCAATAGCAATGATTTTTTTTTCCCAACAGGATCAACAGTGTATCTTACAGCTTTATCAGGGAGTATTCACTGTTCTTCCTTCTTTCAACAATGAACATAAAGTTGAAAAAGAAATATCAAGTATTTGTTTATCACAGGGAATACTCTTGAACCAATGATTTTTTCATGATATTTCTTTATTCTTTCTCTCTCTCTCTCCCATTTGTCTCTCTTTCTCACACACACATACAAACTCAGATGCATAATTGTATGCAAGGGATATAGGGTCATTTGTATGGTGATTTTACATATTTGTATACATTCACCTCTTTAACACATGGCTGGAAAAGAACTGAAACACAACTGTGACACCTTTGGCATCCTCACATCTGAACTCATGTCCTAGGGAAACAGTTTAGCTAGAGGACAGATGTGTCCTTTTATTATTAGTTATCTATTGTTGCATTACATATTACCCCAAACTTAGCAACCTAAAATAATAAGCATTGACTATCTGGGGCACCTGGGTGGCTCAGTTGGTTAAGCATCTGCCTTCAGCTCAGGTCATGATCCCAGGGTCCTAGGATCGAGCCCCACATCAGGCTCCCTGCTCAGTGGGGAGCCTGCTTCTCCCTCTCCCTCTGCTTCTCCCCCTGCTTGTGACCTCTCTCTCTTTTTCTCTCTCACTCAAACAAATAAATAATCTTAAAAAAAATAAGCATTTACTACCTAAACAATGTGTGTGGTGAAGCTCAGGTGAGTGCCTCTGGCTTGAGGGCTCTGATGAGGTTGCTGTCCAGCTTTTGGCCTGGATTAGAGGTTCATCTGAAGGCTGGACTGTGGGTGGAGGGGAGGAATCTGCATCCAAGCTCACCCATGTCATTGTTGACAGGTCTCAGGTCTTCATTAGCTAATTGCTAGTCATCAGTCCCTTTCCATAAGGCAGCTCAGAACATGGCAGCTGGCTTTACTCAGAGTAACTGAATAAGCCAGTGAAAGGGTTAGAGAGAGTGCCCAAGATGGAAAAAAATGGTCTTTTTATAACCCAATCTAGGAATTAATATCCCATCCACCTGCTGTAGCCTATTCACAAGTCCAGCCTCCTCTAAGGAAAAGAGTTGCATGCAGGCATGAACACAAGGAATCAGGGATCACTGGGGACCATCACAGAAGCTGATAATCATCTGGGGACTATCACAGAAGCTGATATCATATCCAACAGAGGAGATTTTCATCCAGAGAGTGCAATTTAGGTTAAAACAAATTATAATGATTATTCTGCCAAGATAGCAAAGGACATCTATACTGGGGAAAATTATGCAAAGTCTTTAGCTATGATTGAATTTCAGTAGTGGGATTCCAAGCAATTTAATTTTTTCATACTTTTCAGTGTTTTCTAGAATTTCTATAATGCCAGGTTTTAATTATAAACCTTTAAAGAAATAATAAAAATCTATTAAAAAGGCCACAAAATCTAAAAAAAGGTTGAAATATGCTTTCAACGTAACAATGTTGCTATAAAGATAAAATACCAAACTCTTCTGAAGCATGCTCTATATCATCTTTGTTATGAAGTCTTTCCTGACATTCTCATTATTCCTCCCCACTCCTACCCTTTGGTAGAAATAACCAGGAAAGTAACCACTATCTCTTCTGGGTTGTGTCCTTTTCATAGCCTATTGCCTGCACCCACTTAACTTTCCATCTCCCATTATCTGATTGCAATCGATCTGGTGTAGCCCTGGTTTTTACTGCGCTGCCTGATGCACAATAGATACATAACTTATGAGCAATGATCGTACACGCATGTGCACATGGAAAATAGTAGAGAACACAGCTGACAGCAAGGATGTCTTGAGTCTGTGGGAAATGGACAGCATTACCATCCATGCTTTCTCATCCATGAGTTACCACCACCTTTGTGTACTTTGGCCCTGGAGATTTCCTGTGGGAGACTGAGTTATTCCCCTTTTGTTAGGCTCTATTAACCAAGAACAAGCCACAGGCTCAGGGAGCATTATAAATAGCCATGGACCTGCCATGCTCAGAAACCCCAGGCTCCAAACATGTTGATGCCTCTTTTCTTCAATGGCCGTTCAGCCATGAGACTCCATGTACTTCTCTTCATGCTCCTCTTTTTGACCCTCTTATCTCCAGGTAAGGTGGTGGCTGGTTGCCAGGGTCTGCCATCTGGAAGTCTATCTGGCAGGTCAGACAAGACCCTGGATTTATAAACCTGATATCAACAGCTTCACTAGGATTATAATGGGGTAAAATAGGAAACAGGCCATTCCTTTGCCATTATACCCACTGCTTGATATGGTCTCATTCTGCTTTATCCTTACTTTGTGCTTTGGGATGCCCTGGTAAGGCATGACAATTGGCTTGTAGACAGGAAGATCTGAAAGGATTGGATTGAAGTGGCATCTACAATTTTATCTACTCACCAGGTCAGAGGAAGAGATGGATGGAATCCCATCAACAGTAGCTAATGCTAAAGGCATGTCTTGGGGAAACTGTCATAGAAATAGTTGGCTCCTGAAGGAATTTAGAGATCAGTATTGAGTAATGATACACAGCTCTCATTATGGGAGAGACATGTCCACAGTTGTAAAAGTAGGATGATCATATGCCTTTTTTTTTTTTATCCCAAATAGACACTTTGGGAAAGTAAGTAAATGGAGCACTATTATAACTGTATCATGACAGCAGACATAAGTTAGAACTGTCCCAGCCAAACTGGCCACAGGGTCACTCTGTGTAAATGGCATAGACATGGAATAGGGTTTCAGAACGAGGGTTACAGTCCCCAGGGAAAGGTTACTGAGAAGACCAAGTGCTGCTCTGTATTCTAGGAAGAGATTCTTTTTTTTTTTTTTTAAGATTTTATTTATTTGCGAGACAGAGAATGAGAGACAGAGAGCATGAGAGGGAGGTGGGTCAGAGGGAGAAGCAGACTCCCTGCTGAGCAGGGAGCCTGATGCGGGACTCGATCCCGGAACTCCAGGATCATGACCTGAGCCGAAGGCAGTCACTCAACCAACTGAGCCACCCAGGCGCCCTCTAGGAAGAGATTCTTATGACAAATAACAATCACACAGAATAGGTACCAAAGCATAAATATAGTCTTGAATAATGAAGCAAGTAGGAGGAACACGCGCTTTGGAATACTCATGTGTGTGCTATGTAGTAAGAAAATGGCTGAGCCGGGAAACGGAGACAATAACACAAAAGGTGATGCTCTTCGATCATAAATCCTTAGTGCTAAAATGGTCATTAAAATTTATCAGGTTCGGGGTGCCTTGATGGCTCAGTCAGTTAAGCGTCTCTCAATTTTGGCTCAGGCCATGATCTTGGGGTTATGAGATCAAACCCCATGACAGGCTTTGCCGTGGACATGGAGGCTGCTTGAGATTTTCTCTCTCTCTCTCCCTCTGTCCCTCCCTCCCTCCCACTCTCTCTCTCTTAAAAAAAAAAAGTTATCAGGTTCAGGGGCACCTGGGTGGCTCAGTTGGTTAAGCATCTGACTCCTGATCTCAGCTCAGGTCTTGATCTCAGAGTTGTGAGTTCAAGCCCCGCATTGGGCTGCATGTGGGCATGGAGCCTACTTAAAAAATACATAAATAAAAAGATAAAAGTTATCAGGTTCAAACTTATCATTTTCAGATGAGATGACTGAGGTCCATAAATGTACTTCACAATTCAATTTAAGTATTCATACATGCACCTGAAAACAATATGTCAGGGTTGCAGGGTTTAATAATCAACTATGCAGAAAGGGTTTAAATAGTTTGTAGGTCACACAAGATGAAATGGTGTCATTTGGATCAAGTATGTTATGGAAACACTTATTAGGTGAAATAATCTTTATGTTTGCACCTGGAAATATTTTCTTTTGGCATTAAAAGAGGATTTGTTCAGAACATACTAACTGCCAGGCACTAAATTTCATATTGGGTATTAAGGTATCAACTAAGAATATCTTACGCACTAACTATCCACTATGACTAAAATAGAGAAGTATTTCCTGCCTTAATGGAGCTTCCAATGTTAACTTCCCATGTTGTTCACATGCTGCTATTCTTATCCTCTGACAAATTTTGGACAACTTTAAGGATAGGCTGAATCAAGAAGAGTGCATTCATTTCCTCATGCTGAGAACAGTCCATCAGTCAGACAAGCACAGGGTTCTTCAGTCTATAAGCCCCTAACCAGGGAGGAGCTCTGAGACTTGAGTAGTCCAGATGCTGCCTTCTTGCTCTTTTTCCTCTAGTGGTCTCAGTTCTCCCACCTATTCCTTTTGCTTCCATATCCTCTTCTTTCACTTTTATCCCTCCTTTGAGGGCCTCTGTGGAAAAGACTGCCATCTTGTAGTTTTGCCCCTAACTTCTCAACCCCAAAATATCTTTTTATTCAGTTTCAATAAAGTTACTAGTCTGTCATCTTATATCCAACATATACTATCATCCAGGCACTTTTCTGAGCTTTAGGCCTAAAAAACGAGTAAGTCATATTACTACGCATAAGGATCTGAAAGTTCTATGGGAGGACACAGAGAGAGAACTGAATGATTATATCAAAATAAGTGAAAAGTTAAAGCATGGATGTTTGGGAAAATGGGGTTAGAGAGGAAGAGAGCAAATTCTTTCTGTGAGATTAGTCAAAGTACAAAAAAGCCCACATAACACTGATTTTATAAAAGAAATCATGATTGTATCTGCTTGTAAATGAAAGATGATTTGCTAAGTGAATCTGAGGAATCTGAGGACTGGAGGGGGCTTCAGACACATGAATGGACATGAGTAAAGAAACCAAGATGTGACAGTCATGGCGCGTTACAGGTTCAGCAGGCAGCACGTTGAGGTGAGGTGATCGTGCCCGAGGGCTGGCAAAGAGAGTCAGAAGCAGCCCACAGAGGGTCCGAAGGGCACATGCTGAGGGAGGAGGAGCTCACCATGTGCTGACTGGCTCTGAAAATGGAATGGACAAACTCATTTGCATTTAGAAATATCTCCTTAAGCAATGAAGAAGATGGGGCAGCCTGAAAGGGAATGATCATGGGACTTTACCTATAAGAGAGTACGACTAAGCAATAACTCGGTGAATAGAGGGACATGTGAAGGGAATATGTAAGAGCTATAACTGATTATAGTTAATGAACAAATGAATGCACTGGAATGATAATTCTTGGGTTCCTGAATAAAGTCAAAGCGCATTAACCTAGAAAGAAAATACAGTAAGGAGAATGTTTGTTTTTATGTTTCTTTTTGAGATTTCAGACAAGGACAAAATCAGGGCCAGTTTCAACATCTTGAGTTTTAGGAACCTATGCATCTTTCAGGTGGAAGTGTGTAACATTGAAAATATAGGACTGGTATTCAGATGAGAAATCACTGCAGGAGTCATATCATTGTTCAGTAATTAGTGTCTAAAGCTTCAGGAGTACCTGGGAATGCTTAGGGGAAGCTAGTAGCATGAAAAGAGAAGACAAAATAGAGAAGATGAGAAAATGGAAGTAAGGAGGTGAGAGGATAAGAGAAAGGAAGAGAATACCATTGATAGAACCAGGACAAAATGCCACACATACTGAGCAAATGCAGAAAAGTTGCTAGGAGTCTGTCAGTGAATTAAGAAAAACATTGAGCTGATGAGCATCAAACCAAGTCAACTAATAGTAGCAAGACTTTCAAGAAATCACATGCCACCCAAAGATTCAGTAAAGTTGAAACTAAAATAAGGTCATAGGTTATTTTCACAAGTTTTCCCTACTTTATTTATATATGATTGACAAATCAAAATTGTGTATAGGTAAGGTATAAACATGAAGATCTGATTTCCGTACATATTTGCAACGACATGGAGGAACCTGAGGATGTGATGCCAAATGACATAAGTCATACACAGAAAGAGAAATGCTGCATGAGCTCAGTTATATGTGGAATCTAAAAAGTTAAACTCACAGAAACATTGAGTCAAACTGTGGTCACCAAGAACTGGGGATGAAGGAAATGGGGAGGTTGTAAGTTTTCATGGAAATATACATATGTGGAAGCTGGACTGCACAGCCATCAGGCTCCTACCTGTGATGGTGTACCAGTCTCCTTCCTTCCCTTTGCCAACAGTTCTAGAGTCCTTATGGGTAACCCAAAGACCATTATTTTGAATGCCAGGTTTATCAGTGAGAAAATGAAATCTTATTTAGACAAAAATGTGGCTTATGCTAGCAGTTCAAGCAGGAATGAACTATGTAGTGTCTGGTCAAACATACAAGCTCAATAAATAATGTGTAGCAAGAAAGACAGTGTGGATAGTTTTGTTTTGTTTTGTTTTAATTTGCGTTATTCCACGTGAGGCTAACAAGAGTTGTGACCCATATTGTCATTTCCCAGTCCTTTAAAGAGAGTATCTATAAAGCTAAAGAAGAAATTGAAGATAGCCTGGAAACCGAGGATAGTATATTGTTCTAAGAATAAATATCTGACCTTTTGGTGGTGCCTAAGAGACTATAAGACAAATATTCTACTGAAAGAAGCCTATAAAAGGACTTTCAGCATTTCCCCCATTTTTGTTCAGAAATAATCCAAAAGCAACATGAGTGAGAAAAAGAATTGAAAACAGCATCTTCAAATAAACTAGGATATAGATGGAATGTGAAAAACAGAGGCACATGACACCACACTCCAGGAGGTTCCATCAGAGAACACTTCTAGAAGGTAAGGGGCACACCCTAAGAACAAACTCGAAAACATTCTTTTGCAAAACAAGAACAGAATTCATGGGCAATTCATGAGAGCATCCCAGGGGTCAGTAGTGGACTTGACAAACAGATAATTCAGACTAAACCAAGAATGGTGTTAACAACTTATATATGCAACACATACTCTATAGGTGAATCTGGAAGGGGAAGAGAGACATTATATTGTGAATAGCCATGTATCTGCTTATCTCCATTGGTCTGAATAAAAGTAAGAGTTAACATAATTAATACAAGATATTGGTTATTAAAAGTAACTCCTGGCACACACCCTACACAGAGCTTTTGGTCCAGGAAAAACTCATTTAATTCAAAAGCAGGAGTAATGAAAAGTTAACAGCACTGGAATCTAAACAAATTTTTTTATATGTCATGAAAGATGAACAAGCAACAAAAAATTTTA